AATATTATCCCTATAGAACCCCCACATACTATGTTCCCATATTCCCTACTAAGAACCAGTAAGATAAAGGGTAGCCCAATTCCAAAGAAGTCCACTTAGGCTTTGCCAAGTGTATGGCAAGGTTTGCGGCTATACTGCTGTCAAGGAACGGTTTTCTAGGTACTACATTGGGGAAACCATATTAATCACTGTGAATATATGAATGTATATATATATACATACACTCATTATGGTAAGTTAATTTTAGTTCCTTAACAGCAACCCCGTATACTGCACGCAGATGAAGCGAGGATTCCAACCAGGATGAGCACTGGGCAAACTCCGCACAAAACTTACTGGTTCTTGGTAAGGAATATGGGAATGTAGTATGTAGGGGTTATATAGAGATTACATTCCACACATTTCCTACTAAGAACCAGTAAGCAAAGCAGCTGAAAACAAAATCAGTGCATCAGAAACCTATGTCAAGGACAGCCGTATCAAAGTCCAGGCAGATCACTGCGAAAAGCAAAGCTTACACTTATGGTGGTTTGCTTTCTACCAGATCCTTCGCATAAAGCAACGCTTCCACCTTTGCACCTTCGCTTCATGTGAGTAGTGTTTTTTTGGTGGTTAAACCCAGTAAGAAAATATTCCTTACATAAAATACTATACCCCAAAAGGAGGATATAATCTTACTCTACATTGGGTACCATAGTATCCCCAAATTAAGTACTACTCATGTAATGCAGCAACACCCAGCTCTGAGCCCGCGACATATCGGTGACCAAACTCTACCTTTCGCGATGCAAATGCTCCATCTTCCCTGTGTAGATTTGGCTAGTACGCTGTTACAACTATGAATGCCAACCTAGTATTCCGGTTCCTGACTACTACGACTGTGACCATCACAGGGCCAAGACCCCAAGCTTGATACTATGTCTCGCCGCTGCTTCTTCTAGCATCGCTGCTTCTTCACTTAACGAGTCTGTTCTCTACTGACTATCTTATGACGAAAATCATATCCTTGATCTTCTTGCTCGTAGCAGTCTGGCATTTTCCCGCTTACAACAACTTTCACCCGCCAACGCGTTGCTCAGCAATGCCACCACCACAGAGGCAACCGCGACTGGCTCCGCGCTGCTGCTGTTGCTCCTCCTCCTCCACCTCCTCTGAGTCCTCCCACCACAGAGGCAACCGCGACTGGCTCCGCGCTGCTGCTGTTGCTCCTCCTCCTCCACCTCCTCTGAGTCCTCCCCCTTCTCCCTGTACTACTACAACAAGGACTCAACCACAAGAAGGAACAACGACAGTGACGACTTTTACAACAAGTACTGCTTCTCCTACAGCTGCTGGATGATGCTGTCTCTGCCAAGGTGCGCCAATGGTCATATCCTGGGCCATCAGTTTTGGGAACCCATAAGCAGGACGTACGAAGGTTGCAAATCACCGTGATAACTGGCACCCCGGAAAGCTTTGCTATGCATCATGCGCGCTCAAATGCGGAATTCGTCGAGCAGCGAGAAAGTTGATGGAGTAAACGATTTGGGAATCGGTAAACTTCGAACGCCCATGGCCAGCACGGAAATTCAACACGAGGCTTCAGACCCTGCATCTGCTGTCGGGCAACCTGATACTTACTTCTTGCCACCGGTGAACCATTGTGGAGAATAGGTGATTGCAAGCACTTCAAGCAGAACCCAAAGGATTCCTGCTATCGTTGTTCATCTTGAATTGATAGGCATCCTTCAAAATGGACCCACCACAGGACCACAGTGCAATAGTCAAGAATGTAACCACCCCAACATACTATACTCCTGGTTAAGGTGACTGTCAATTTTGGGAAACCGTAGGCATTATAGACCCCACACAGCCCCGATGTTGCTATACCGATCTGACCCTGTGAAGCGTACCTCTAATTGATTCACCTGCCATGGGGCATGTTCCGCCCTAAAGCGCCCGCTCGTGAATTGCAGCAGTATGCAAGACTTGCCGACACCCGCATCCCCTACCTGAGCTAGACAGAAGGGAGTGCTTGGGGATGCTTCGGGAATGGAATGTCGGGGGGGTTAAGGGTGGAAAAAGCCCAATATCGAGCCCTATCAGATCAAAAAGGCTACCAAGTGATGACAAAGCTTCTTGTTGTGCTGGGACTTGTTCCAGCTCGGTGTGTGAGGCATATCAAAACATGAAAGGCAGAGGTCTTCCCCGCAAAAGAACAGGAAGCTTTGAGCAACTGGGCTGCCTATGATGTGAGCAGGACGGCGGCTCCAAGCATTAGCCTCTCTTCTCCCCGCCAAACCAACTCCACAGTGAAACACAGGAACCCGCATGGACCATGGACAGCCCTCTATCCATGCATGCTTCCGATGTCTAGCAGCCAATTTTGCAGCCAGGGTACAATGATGTACCTCGGCTGCAACGCGAATTCTCTTGTCCCATGCATCTTGATGATCGATCATGTTAGGTTAGAGATGGTTGGGGTAAAGCTTGGTGGCCTATGACACAACTCTCTGATACTGATTCCTCAGGCCACAAACATCTACGTCTGTAGAAGCTGGGCCCGTAAGAGTCAGATGTCACTCAGCAGGAAAGCCACCTTGTAAAGCCTGAGGCTCAAGCCTTCAGATTTAAACACTATATAGTCCCAGTATCCATTGCATTTTCTATCTGCTGTTTTATTCGATTCTCTATCATTCCCACATACCCGTACATAAGTCGTTGAGGAGGTTGAATGTCTGCCGAAGATGCGGCTTCTCTTCTTCTTTGTAGTAGTAACCCGAGGCCGGTAGAATTGTGGATCCGATTCTGAAAAACAAGCCAAGAAGCTTAAACAAGTAATTGTACTCGCCGTCCTTGGGTTCCTGCAGATGGAGATGTCTCACAAGCCAGGGATCATCATGATGGTATAGCCACCCTTAAGTAGATAGAATATGGGGTATATGGGGATCTTAATGTAATATACCCGAAGCCATATTCTCTCTACTTAAGGGGGACTATAGCCCAATCCCTGATATCCTGAGGCTGCATGAGAGGGACCTCTGAGACGGGCCAGAATATGGGAGTTTCCCAAAATTAGGGGTTCCGTTTGGGGGAGTTCCACTATGCATTTTGGGGTCTACATTGGGGGACCCCGGTAGGGCTTGGGGCATTAATTGCCCGACTGTGACAGCTTCCAGCTCCCAAAACTTGAACGAGCCTGCCGAAAGCCAAGTACAACCTCTAGATCTCAGCTAAACCCCTGTAGAGCACAAGCTGGTCATAACCAGCCAGAGCCAACCCTGCGGCTGCAGCCATCCTACCTGAAGGATCCTTCTTGGCCATCTCATAGTAATGTCAGAGCCTCCGAGTAAAACCATTGTGGCAATAATTTGCGTATACACCACCGTCTGAATCTGAGGTGAGGTCAGGTAAGGTTGCTGGAACTTGCTCAGGTCCTTGTGCTCCCTCTGCTCACTGCCCTCGCTCATGGGCCGGGCCGGTACAGCCCCGGGGGCGTGGGCCGCGGGGGGAGCCGGGCGTCGAGCCAGCTGCAGAATTGGAGTTTGATCCGAAGGTGTTTAGGAAAATATTACAAGGATAATTTAGGAGAATCATTTTCCATAATGGCCGTTTGGGGAAGAGGAATTTTGATCAACTACCAAATGCAGTTGGGGTCTTGAGCGTAGTGCTTCAGGTCAAGCATGACTAAGTTCGATCATGTTGAAGTTATTGTATCGGGAAAAAAAGCAAGCATTGTAGGGTCTAAAGGTTCAAGCGTTTCCGAACACGATGGTTCACCCCTTCTAGACTCAGGAAACTCTATTTTAAAGAGCTTTGGGGAACATTCCAAGCTTCACGCTTCCTGGCGTCTTGCCAGCTTCGCAACACAAACAAGAAGAATGACGGCGCCTACTTCTGGGCACATGTAGGCAAACTTACCCTGACAAGTCTCCGGGTGCGGAAAAACGAGGGGTTCAAAGGGCTTAGTGCTTTGGATTCTAAGCAAGTACAATTATGTTGGGATTGCTGAAAGGAACCATCAATCCGCGCCATTCCCGACTGTCTACCATTAAGTTGTTGGCTCCAGGGATCGCGTCTTGGCACCGTGCCTGCCATCCTCTGCTTCGCCGAGAGCGAAAACCTGACGCAAGCGAAGCGTGCTGATGGTCTGCCAAAGGTTGTAAGGTTTCATCTTCGCAGCACATGCAAAAAGGTATGGGCAATCTCTTTCCTCTGCTTGCAAAAGAACTATTTGAAGCACGGCGGTGCAAGCGCCGTTGCTAAAACACATTGCCCCACAGTTCTGCCTCAAACCAGAACCGGGTGCCAAGCCAACATGTCCTGGATGCTTCGCGCATCGGATGCCAAAGCCTTGCCTACTCACCCAAATCACTTCCAGAGTCTCAACCCTAAACCCCAAACTCTAAACTCTAAACCCTAAACTCAGCTCCAAGGCCGAGAACTCCAAACAGCTGAAACCCTCACACTTGCGCCTTCACGCGCGCGCGCGCGCGGGGCCCGGCAACGAGCCCAAGCTGAAACTCTAGGGTTTGGGGTTTAGGCTTTAGAGCTTAGGGTTTAGGTTGGGTATTGCCCCCCCTCTCTAACAGTTTATATTGGGGGTCCTATTAAGGGCTATATATAGCTAATATTATACATATTATCCAACTGTTGCTGAGGGGGGGCAGTACCCAAGGTTTAGGGTTTAGGGTATCCCTGACCGACAGATCTGAAAGGTTCCCTACATTGACCCCCAAAATACTAAAATCCGTATTCTTGGGACGACCCCTCAAAAGGTACCCCTAATTTTGGGAAACCCCGAACCCTAAATCTCATGTAACCCCTATGTACCCCTTTTTAATGGTACCACGAATTTTGGGAAAGCCTGATGAAGAAAGGGCAGGTTGAGGTGATAATTGCCTAGCCACGCATCTGGCATCCCAAGGGACCGAGTAAGTAGATTGATAATGGAAAAAGGGAAACTAGCTTATTAGCTGGGGTTTTCAGGTTGAAGGGGGCTTAGTAAAGTAGGAAAACAACCCCTGTAGCCCACATAGTTACCCTTTTTTGGGTCCTCATTACTAAGGCTCCTTGACCCTCCAGGTAGAGTGCACAAAACTGCCAGGCCCTGTATGTAAGCCTTGCAACACACATAACGCATGAAAAGGTTACCAGCCTCTGAGAAGTAGTGGGCTCGTGTCTCAGGCGGGGGCCTCACTGCCCAAAGTGAGGAGTTTAAAAGTTCGGGGCCTTTGGGTTGAGTGTTTACTTGGAGGTCAGGGGGCTTATAGGAAGTAGGCTGATAACCCCTATAACTTTTATAGTAACCCTAATTAACCCCTCCATTAAACTGCTTACTAAGTCCCCCCGACCCTCCAAGTAGGGTTTCAGGGTTTAGGTACAAGGCGTTTGGTTTCCTGGTTTCTTGAGTTCCTGGTCTTAAGGTGGGTTGCTCATGAGGTATGACAAGGATCTTACGGAACACACTGGAAATCGAGTTATACCTATATGGCGGTTATGTAGGGGTTGTATAGGAGCTGTATAAAGGTTATATAGGGGTCATATGGGGACTATGATGGAGACCCCAATTTGAACCAGTGTCAGTCATGGATCATTTGAGCTATAACCTGAACTCCTAGTATCCCCCTTAATCACTCCTATAGTAATCCCCTACAAAATCCCTTATAGAAGTCCCTCTCAAGGAGTTTAGACTGTAGCTCATTTGGCGAGGTGGCACCTGCGATGCCAGGTATTTTTGATGCCGCACCATGATAGAGGGAGCCAAGTAGCTTCAATCTATACTCCTTAAAGGGGGTTATATCGGAGATTCTATAGGGGACTACTAGTTATATGGGTTATTAAGGGGGATACTAGGAGTTTAGGCTATAGCTCAAGTAGCTTTAATCTATGCCTTAGAGCCAGACCAGGGTCGACCCCTTGACCCCGGTACATGTCAATGGGTCCAGCGTGCTTAGCTGCACTACTCGACTTATGCCAAGTGCTGTTACTCTGACTGCGCCTGCGCGCACGGCAACCGCACAGACACTCTGAAAAGGACGCATAGTCGGCGGAACTCCTTCATGATCTGTTGAATGCATACCAAGTATCAAAACTGACTTACTGGGAAAGGATGGGGGGGTGCCTATACAACCACCCAATAATACTTGGATGCAAGCCGCCTGAAAACTTGAGGGCTTCCAAAAACCACGGCTCCTTGTTTTGGAATTCCTATACTAAGGATGATCATCTGTCCCTGACTAGCCGTCCCTAGAGCTTAAACTCTAAATCCTAGACCCGGACTTCCCTGAACCCTACATCCTCAATCCTAAATCCTGAACCCTACACTGAATGGCCGCACTAGGCGGGTCTCAGGCCCCAGACCCCTCTCCGGGCTTTGGCATCTGACCCTGCGCCACTTGCATCTTCATGAGGCCTCCCAAGGCTCGAGAACTACTGAGTAGCGCTTTTTGGCTGGTTGGATCAAGTAAGGTTATGTCCTTCTGATAAAAACTATACCCAAAGGTATCCTCTATTCGCTCTTGTACCCCAATTAAAGTACTACTCGTAGGTGAATAATGAAGGACCAGATCCCTACTCATCCTTCAGACTAATCCCCATAGCCCACTTCCCCATGTCCTTGTAGGCACTAGGAAGGAAACGCTCAAGCTTCCTCTTCAGTGTTCACCATACAAGCAATTACAGCGCAAACCTGAAAGCACTTCGGCGTCATCTATCTGCAGGTCAATGAGAACATGCACAGCTGCTTTGCAAAGCAGCACTGTCAGCAGCAACGATTATCACGAACGAGCAGCTGAAGGTTGCAACTCTCCTCCCTACACCCTAAACCCTGTCCTTTCCTTTTTCTCCGTGACCCAGCCCACGTCGGCTGCAGTCGGTCCAAGCGACACGACCAGGCAAACCGGAAACCGGAACAAAAGCTTCGGACTTGGGGTCCATCTGGGCCATGCTCTAAACTCCTAGTCTCCCGTATTCCCCTGAACAAGCCCTATGGTAGTCCCCTATATAATTCCTTACATCACCACCTTTAAGGTATGGTTCATCTAGTCTGAACATGGACCTGGGCAAAAAACCGTAAAACAATTTTGGCTAGGGCTCAAAGGTTGATGTCCCAGGAATGTGTAAGCGCATTGGCAGCTCGTGCAACGCATAACAATGCTCAGAAACTTGAAGTACAGCCCTACTGTTTGCCGTTCACTTGAGCCATAGTCTAAACTCCCAGTATAACCATTTTTCATGCCTATAGTGTCCCCTATATAATCCCTTGTATAACCCCCCTTTAAGAAGTTTAGACTACAGCTCACTTTGTGGCTTCAGAGCCTCCGCCTTGCATCCTACATGGCCGTGCCCTCAGGCGGCTTGGGGATGCCCTTCGCTGGCGTTGGTGGTCATCGTGCTGGTCCGGGCAGACCTCAGGATTGGGTATTTGGGGTTATATTGAAAAAAAGGAAAAGAAAATGGAAAATACTATAGTGGGCTATATGGGGGTTCTATAGGGGGTTATATTAGGGTTATACTGGGATAATGGGAAACTACTATTTAGGGTTTAGGGTTTAGGGCTTAGGGCTTAGGGTTTAGGCTTGGGATGCAAGCCAGGCACTGGGCCTTTCCCACAAACTTGATGGTGCGCAACCCTCAACCGTAAACACTAAACCATTTTTGACTCTTGTGCTGCCAATTTCTCCGCTCTACGGATGGCAGCCTCAAACATAGGTTTCTGTTATGGCAGGGTTTAGGGTGTTTTTTTTGCGGCCTCTTTTTCCGCCTGCACTTAGGTCGAAGGGTCTAGTGCTTGGGAGCCTATCCACCACATTGTTTTCATCCCTCACACTCGCTTTCAAAAGCAGAAAAAGCAGAAAGAGCACGCGCAACAATCGAACGTGCCCAAGACCTGCACAACAACCCTAAACCCTACAGAAATCCTTGGCCCTAAGCCCTTTATGTAGCGCTAGCAAAATGCTGTGGAGGAGTGGGCTATGCATGCTTGGTTCAACACGTGGCAGAGATCCAAGGGTATGAAGGGTGCCTTTAAAGGCGTTATACTATACAGTCTCAGACGAGGATGTGTAGGGTTTAGGGTTTCCAAATATTAAGAATATCATTCCACTAGTGAATACTCAAACGACATGATAATGGTAAAGAACTATATACGGGTTTGAGAAGTTATGGTGTGCCCAATTTCAACCCAAGGCCTTGACCCAGACATCGTTCTACCCTTGCTCTGGCGATGAATCCTATTGATCGTATATAACCCCTGTACAACCCTAAGTCCCAGTTCATGTTCCATTTTCTTTTCCATTTGATTCTCATATGGCTTTTCCATTTGATTCTCATAGGGCTTGCCAGGGATTATATAAGTTTATATAATCTTAAAGGGGTTATATAGGGAGTATAGTGTATGTAGGTCATATAGGGATCCTAGCCTCCTTCCCCGAAACAAGGTCACGACTGGAAATTTGAACATGGGCTTTCACCAGAATGGCGTGAAAGGAATTAAACCCTAAACCTAAGCCCTAAACCCTGAACCCCAAGCCCTAAACCCTAGCCAACCTTCTTAAGATCCATACCCTACCCCCACTTGAAGGGTCAGGACAACTTAGGCTACTTAGTGAGGCGGATACCTTGCTATATCTGGGTTATAGGGGTTCTTAACCTACTTACTAATTCCCCATGACCCTCCAAGTACACGCGGTCGCACTGCAGGTGCGGTAGTTTGTTCCAGGGTGGTTTCAGGGTGTTTTTTTTGCTAAGAGCCCCCAGCCTTTCGACAAGAGATGTATTTGAAGGTCTTTGGTTTTGACACTGAATTTCTTCGTCTTAGGCAGAGCCTGGAGAGAAGCAAGTGTCGCATGAAGAGTCTGGGCCATACTCAGGCTCGTGCAAGTTCCAATGGTAATCTTTTGATGCTGGACAACATAGGAAGAATAAGGAAAAGGCTCGCAAGCTCTGTAGGTCCGAAAGAGAATAGCGATCAGAGGAAAAGGAAAACAACAATGACAGCAATGGGAGAAGGGGAATCAGAATAAATGCGCCTCTAACACCTACGAAATAATCATTGGAAGTTTTAATCTGAATAAGGACTAGCTACTAGCTGATACGTAAGAAGCGAAAAGATTTCTTCACATCATGCCTCACACCCTAAACCCTAAACCCTACACCCCAAACCTGAAAACCCTAAAACCCAAAAAACCTTAAACCCTAAAACCTAAAACCTTAAACCCTAAACCCTAAAACCTTGAACCCTAAAACCCTGAACCACCACCTGATCCCCTTCCTTTCCTGGGGCACCCGGCACCGCACGGGAAGCCTGGGAGCTCCTACGTGAGACAACCGAGCGCTGATGCGCTACGAAGCTCTGCCTCAGGAAGGACCCCAACGAAGCTTTAAGATTTAGAGTTTAATATTGGGGTTATATGGGGATAATGGAAAAGAAAATGGAAACTACTATTTAGGGTTTAGGGTTTAGGGTTTAGGGTTTAGGGCTGAGGGTTTAGGGCTGAGGGTTTAGGGCTGAGGGTTTAGGACGTACTGTAGGGGCCAGAACAAACAAATGCCAACAGTATGTTTCTAGATTTGTTGTATACAATCAAGGTATAGGGTACCTCCAATGGACCTCAGAATGGTATTGGTGGGTATTTCGGCCGAAACAAATTATGCTCGTTGAGTTCAAGTTGTTTCCAACCCCCAGACTCCTCCCGTGCGTAACCCCCACTTCGGGGTTCAAGGCTTCTGGAATATGTGGGCCTTGGTAAGGTTTAGGGCTCATGAATTTCATTTGTTGTTCAGTAGGGCCGGGGGTTTAGGGCTTAGGCATTACCACCCCATGTAATTCACACCAAACACAATGTGGGATACTATCGGGAAGACTTCAGGATTTAATGGTATGGGGTCAAGGAGGTTAGTACTACAGGAAAGGATTACTACTGTTCATGGTAGATGACATGCATGACCCTGAGTCCACTGCACGACCATAATTCCTAGGGTTTAGATATGTAGGGTCATGCTGGCTTTGTCCATCAACAGCAATACAGAAGCCAGAAGGAAAAGAAGGAGAACAGCAATCTCTGCAATGACGACTATCGTCATAGAGTTACACAAGCCTCCGGCTGACCTAAGCCCTTAGCCCGGTTATATTGTATTATATAGGGGTCCCATTATGGGGTATATTATTGGGGTTATATAGGCAGAATGGAAGAGAAAACGGAAGCTACTATAGTAAATTGGGGTTATATGGGGATAACGGAAAAGAAAAATGGAAACTACTTAGCCCGGTGACCTTGAGGGATCTACATCTGCAGGCTAAAGCGGCGGCCACTAACACTCTTGTTGTAATGTTGTCGAGGGCCCCTTATGATACTTGCCTGTGTCAAGGCACTAGTATCAAGAAAACCTCTCCAACCTGGTCGGCTGTTAAGGGCCCTAGATTACCTAAGTGACCATAATTGGGATACTACCTTGCACGGGTGACTTCACGTCAGCCCAAAACTCTCGAAGACTCCGCAACTTCGCTGAGTATAGGATGGAGCCTCCTCAAAGTTGAAATGAAAACATACCAGGAAAATGTCAAGACGTCCGGGGGGCCAAAACCACGCCATCGTGCATGAAGGAGTTGAGACTTAAGACTGCTACGTGAGACACGGAGAGCTTTGTACCACAATACGCCATGAGCTGCATTCAAGACCGGACCCTGCTCTCATGCTTCCCATGCCGCGGCTACTGACCCGAAGTGATTCTTGTCCCCGTCCGATTAACCCATCCAGGCGACGCTTCCGCTGTCCAGACTGCAATGCGCTCAACGGCTTCGGGGGTTAGCTCAGCCTGCAAAATCAGGACTTAGCACTTAAGGGGTTTCCACAAGTAGGGGTCCTTTGGCGGTCGCCAGAGTAAGGATTATAGCATTTCGCGTTCCATATTGGGCTCGCTGAAAACTACCGTTTAGGGCTGAGTGTGTGGGCCCACGGCGCAGGGCTTCTTCTGCAGTGTGTTTATGCAGCCTAGTCGCACCTTCCTCAAACCTACGTCCCAACCTTTGCAGTTGCTGCCCGAAAAATTGGGTCCACTACTGTCTAAGCTGCTAAAGAGGGCTTTCCCACCAGCTGGTCAAATTAAACAAGGCTTGTGTCCGGACGCCAAATATGCCTGAACCCTAAACCCCAAGCCCTAGACCCTAAATCCTGAGCCCTAAGCCCTAAACCCTAAGCCCTAAACCCTACAACCCTAACCCTAAAACCCGAAACCTTACAAACCCCAAACTTAGCCTCATGTCTTCCGCCCTGACGCCCGAAGGGCCTGCTGCATGGCCATCCTACGAGCCGACACAGCCTCGGCCGGCTGAGGGACCCTGGTGCTTTGTTTTGTTTCCCTCCTGCTTGGCTGGTATGCATGCAGGGTAACTGAGATCACAACTGAAACGGG